GTTTGGTTCCCAATACCCCCACATGGTGGTTCACCTTGATTTTTCTGACTTCTGGAGGTTAGGCAAGCAGAGGTGGGTAGATTTCAATTCCAGGACTACACAATCTGTCTCAAAAAAAAAAAAAAAAAAAAAACAAAGATATATAACAAAACCCAATAGTAGTTATATAAATAAATACTGAGGAAAATTTACAAATAGCTTTCCCCCCCCCAAAAGATTTTATTTTGCTGGGCGTGGTGGCATGTACCCTTATTCCCAGCACTGGTAAGGGAGAGATGTCCTGAGTTCCAGGACAGCTTAGTATACACAGTGAAACACTGTCTTAAGCTTATGTGGCATGCATATGTGTATACATGTGTGGAGGTCAGAGGACAACTTTGTGCATTCAGTTCTCTACCCCATTGTCACGTGGATTCCAGGGATTGTATTTTGGCAATTAGATTTTCATTGGAAGCATTTGACTACTGAGCCATTTCACCAGCCTGCAAATGTTTTTGGTTGTGGTGGGGGTTGAACACAGTCCTCAAGTGTGCTAAGTGTATATTGTATTGACTAATAACTTAGTCACCAGGTTTAGTTAAAGATAAGTGAGGAAAAGAATATTGGAAAAATTAAGGATAATGTACTTATAAAATATTTAAGACAATTAAATGCTGAGTGAACATTTCATTTTTTGTGGGAAGGGGCAAGATTGGAAAAGTCAGCAAAAGCTAAAATTTATAGTAGCTCCCAGAAAATGCCTTCCAGGTTAGCCTATTTACTTTTGTCTTTGGTATTTGGAAGTACTTTAGAAAATGACAGGCATTTGTTGCAGTCTAGTCAAAAAGAAACTAGCATACTAAACATTCAAACCCATCTTAAAAAGATACAAATCTTGGACCATTAAGATGGCTCAGCAAATAAAGATGTTTACTACCAAGCCTGACAACCCAAGTTCAATCCCTGGGATCTACATAAGGAAAGAAGATAACTGACTCCTGAAAGTTGTTCTCTGATACTGGTCCCCTGTCCCTCAAGAATGCTCTGGTGTATGTTCACACACATGTACACAATAAATAAAAAAACTTAAAAAGAGAAAGCTCCAATCCTGATCTTATTTTGAAGTTGGGAGAAGAACAGATGGGTGGAGCAGGTCCCAGGTAATACAGGGGTGGTTAGTGCAGAGGTGTGGTTAGTGCAGGTGTGGTTAGTCCAGAGGTGTGGTTAGTGCAGGTGTGATTAGTGCAGAAGTGTGGCAATGACAGCACATGGATGTAAAAGACAAGGCAGGAAACCTTTGTCCTGTTTTTATACCACAGAAAAGCTATACTAAAAACAGTGTTGGGTAATCCCAGTACTAGGGTTGCTGAAGATAGGAGAGTTATACATAACCAATGTCTTTGGTATTGTATTGTGTGGCAAATAGACAAATTCTCTTCTTTTAGTGAGTAGAGGGTTTGTATACATCAGTTTGAGATAGCATGATTAGTGCACTACAAGAGAAGTTTGCCCGAGGCCCCACAGACAGACACGACCTAAGTAAGATGCTTAAGGGTCTAACAAAACAGGTGGCAAGCTGGTACTTGAAAAATTAGTAGTTAATACTTAATATTTTTCTCCCTGACTGCTGAAGAGCATATTCTTTGCTTTTATGTCTTCTAAAATACTATACTTCGCACCTTGCAACATTTTGTTATTAGCACTGCTTTGATTATGCTGGGAATGCCAGGTCTGTGAGGATACCCATTTCACACATCTTCCATTTGGAAATCATTGCATCTGATAATAAATGGTTGACTGCATATTTTGTAGGTTTTTCTTATTCCTTGTGTACCAGATGTTTCTAATCTGTGGCTGAGGATAGCTATGAATGTGACCCAACACAAAATAATAGTTACTTAAACACATGGGTATAAACTCTATTGAACAGTTTTCAGGTGTAAAATCTTTGGATGACAATGTCTATGGTAGAATGTCTAAAGGCTGGACACACTGTAACCTATTGTTTTCTCCCTCCCGTGTTGTTTAACTAAGGAATATTTGCCAGAACATTTAAAAAATGTCTGGGGGTCAGTAAGACAGTAGGCCTGGTGAATTTGAACACATACATTTTTTAAAAAATAATGTTCCTTTTACATTTAAAAATTTGGGCTGGAGAGATGGCTCAGAGGTTAAGAGCACTAGCAGCTTTTCCAGAGGTCCTGAGTTCCCAGCAACTACATGGTGGCTCACAGACATCTGTAGTGGGATCTGCTGCCCTCTCCTGGTATGTGCAGATAGAGCACTCAAAAAAAGAAAACAATTACAATAGGCGGGTACAATTTCTCTGACAGTAACTTTTATTAGCTGTAAAGAACCTAGTATCCATAGTCTCTTGCTCATTTAAGGTTACTTCACAATAATAGTAAAATTTGAGAAACACTGCATAAGAAAACTCATAAGAAAAAATACATGCTAAATTAATATGTTTTATAATTCCTGATAAAGAATTTTCACTGGAGATACAAAATTACAGGGACTTTTGTTAATTTTAGGACATGTTTAATGATAGATACATGTAAGTATACTGTGATTTATAGTTTATTTCAACAATGTTTCAAACTTATTTACCTTTTGTTTATTGACCTTGTGGAAGAGCACACAATCCAAATGCAACTCAGAATGGTGATTTTACACTTCCATTTTAAAAACTACTGTAGTAATTTATACAATTAAGAACAAGATAAAAATCAGATCAAGTAATGGCTTATTTGATTTTAGCATAATTGAGAAAGTAACATCAAAAGGTTCATGAAAAAGGTAATACACATTTAAAAATAAACATTTTGGTTTTTTGCTTACAATTTTACTTTTTTATGATTAATACAGACAATATGGTTAACATCTCTTTTTACTTTTGTCTATAAAAATAAAATCTTTAACATTTCTAAGTTACTTTTTCCAATAAAGATACTATTACCATTTTAAATGGCAGGAAGTAACTGATTTAAAGTCAGTGGCACAAATTACATACAGGATGATGTAAGAAATACAGTGTTAGTAAGGAATTAAGAATACAGTACAGTACTGGCTGTATATAAGAGGTAGAATTCTTAATCACAGTCTTACAGAAAAGATGCAGAAGACTAAGTGTACTGTGCTTAATCAATTAGGGAACCTCCAGCTGGCTTCTCTTGTATGTAAAATGGAAAAAGGGGCTTTTTTTAGTAATGGTCTCATTGACCTTTGTTCTCCATGTGCTATAGAAGCTTTGCTTAGAATACTGGAGCATTTTCTTGGTCAGTTACTGATCATAAATGGCATTCATCTCATGTTTTGAAAAGCCTCTGAATAGGGAAAAATAAATTTCTAGTCTTCCCCCAAGGGCCCTATCTCTATACAATTCTAAAGCATAAATTGTAAATGAAGTGAGTATTTCTCTGGGTACCGTATTTGTTTTGTATGTGTGTGTGTGCAGGGTAGTGTAAGATCATTATCGCTCACTAAGAATTATGGCAATATAATAGACATAAATGGAATATATATATATATATATGTGTGTGTGTGTGTGTGTGTGTGTGTGTGTGTGTGTGTGTGTATTTTATTGGATTATTTCTAATTGACAATGTATTGGCTTTTATAGCCTTGGGTGTTTATAATCCTTCAAAGTCAGTAAGTAATTATAGGTAATTTTGTGAAAGTTATAATAAAAACCATAAATCTTATGGTAGGATGTATATTTTATAAAATCTACTTGAACATTCAAAACAATAACTAGAAGATAAAAACTATGAGAAATACAAATTACCCTCCTCTATTTTCTATTAGAATTGGGGTGGCAAGAAGAGCCCATCTAATTCCAGATGTCATGGTTCTATTTGGGTGAACTTTTTGTATTTGGTATTCTCAAGTTTATCTCAGCTCTTTCCTATGGTTCTGATGCTTTTGAGAACTTAGGAGCTATTTATTTATTCTAAGGTCAGATCTATTCACCAGTATGTCCCTCACATTGTATTATCAAAACCAATAGCTATTGGCCAGGTGGTGATAGCACACACCTTTAATCCCAGCACTAGGGAGGCAGAGGTAGGCAGATCTCTGAGTTTGAGGCCAGCCTGGTCTACAGAGTGAGTTCCAGGACAGCCAGGGCTACACAGATAAACTCTGTCTGGAAACAAAAAAAAAAAAAAAAAAAAAAAAAAAAAAAAAAAACCCAAAGAAAACCAAAACCAATAACTGTAAAAACCAATAAAACACTTTTGATGGGTAATATGAAAATACATTCGTTTAACCTCAAATTTAATCTTAGCTAATGTCTAATCAGAATGCATCCTATTCATAAACATTAACTTTCCTTTATATATCTTCACCTAAGAAAACCTTTGTAATGTCAAATAGAAAGACACTGCCTAATTTTTATGAGGAAAGAATGTCTTTCCATTTTTAATTATCAAAATGTCAGCTTTTGGAAATGTAGACTAAGTATATAAAAACTAGTACTTTTGGATATGTTTCATTCACATTATATTTGGTTATAAAAATCTTAAAAATAGCTGGGGCAGTGGTGGTATATGTCTTTCATCTCAGCACTTGGGAGGCAGAGGCAGGAGGATCTGTGAGTTTGAAACCAGCCTGGTCTACAAAGCTAGTTTCAGGACAGCCAGGCCTACACAGAGAAACCCTGCCTTGAAAAAAAAAGAAAAATCTTAAAAAATATAATTTCAGTGGTATACTTACTTATATTTACTTTTTTGGAAAGATGTAATAGAGAAAAAAATGATCTATTTAGTTCATGATTATATAATTCTCAAATGATTTCTAACCTAAGTTTGTACCTGCTACATATACAGAGAAAGCTCTGGGTAAAAAGCAAAGTGGTGATGTGTTTAAGTATATTGCTCATTCATGTAATTCATATATATTTGAGAAATATTTTGAACTTAGGAAAATAGGTAACATGGCTTCAATTAAGTCTAAATTTAGTATGATATTCTGTTATGCACTTAAGTGTATAACAGAATATACAGAATATATAACAGAATATAACAGAATATATTGACCCTGTTATACACTTAAGTGTATAACAGGGTCAATAAAGTTATCTGGACATAAAATAAGGATTTTCCTCTTATATTACATATCTTACACTTATTTTCTGAAAATGTTATGGAAAAGACTAGTAATGATCTTGACTGTAACAATGTATTAGAATGTTCTGCCTCTTTTGTTTTTTTCTTCAAAGTTAGGTAATCTGTATTGGAGTTTTAAGTTCTACTTTTCCTCTTATCTTCAAATAGACTTTTCAGCATATAAACCTGAATAGCTGACACCATTACCATGACCATCAAATTAACCACAGACCAGAAGTTGACTCTATCAAAGTTGCTTTCTTGTATGTTTCGATCACGAGCTTCAAATGCTCTAAGCAGTGTTTGTATGTGGCCACTTTTGCTTAGTCTGGACTTGATGCTGTTGATGGATTCCTGGAGATAAACATAGTAATTTTACTATTAAAAATACTAAAAACAAGTTCCTCTAATAATATGATTTTAAAATCAAAATAACTTTTTAAATTGTATGAGAATACAATTCAATTAAAGGGCAGGTGTGACTTGTACCACCTGGAGATCCTCCATGAGGCTTTAAAATAGTAATGATAAATTTAAATTTATTTAACAGAGGAATAAAGATACTATGAATTGAAAAGACAAGATCAAAGTATTTGAATAGCACAGCACTAGGACTTTTATATATTATATATATTATCTCATAGTTCTGACAACCATAAAACATTTTTTTTTTAATCAAAATTTTTAAGAGACCAACTTATTATATTTTTAGTTGTTTGGCAATTTTTGTCTAATGCATTGTGTCTATAATATTTTACTGTTTGAATGTTTGTTATGTCTTTCAGGGAGGTCCAACACACATTATAACCGATGTAAGAGTTTGGAGTGATATAAGAGGTATGAGCCATGAAATCAGCAAAGCTTGCACTGAAAAGAGTCCCAGAGCCTTCAAAAGGGCTCAGCCCTGTCAGCACTTTTAGGATTCTAGCCTGTGAAATTCACTTCAGGTTTGTGGCCTCTGGAACTATGAGAAAATAAGTTCACTTTGTCTTTCATTTTTTTAAAATTGCACAGTTTCTATAAAAGTATTTTTAGGATAGCATTCATTTGAGATAAGGGATTTGAAAAACCAATAAAAAGATAGACATAAGCTAAAATTGAGATTTGAAATGATATAAAAATGTGGCAAAAACAGTTTTTGGAAAATATAGCTAGGAATGCTTAGTTCAATTCCTGTTGTACAATGAAATCTCTGGCTGTTCAAATGTCATTACTTATTATGAAGACCGCACTAACCAGGATGTCCTCGAGTTTCATCTCCAGCACATCTGTGTCAGTAATATATTTTTTCCAGTCTTCTTGTTCTTGAGCCTCTTCTCCCATGTTATCCAGGATCAATTCAAAAAAAATTACCTTCTCAGAAATGGTGCTGAATGTGTTATCAAAGCAGAACATGTAGTCACCAACTTCAGTCTCTATGCTACATGAAAACAAGGGCACAGTTTTAGCACTTGGTACTTCCAGCCTGACAATGACAATATATGCAAACACTTGCAAGTTGTACATACTTGGAATTTACTTGGTCAATTATATTCAATTATTTTAATATTTTTTATTTTTTGGGGGGTGGTTCAAGACAGGGTTTCTCTGTAACAGTCCTGGCTGTCCTGGAACCCCCTTTGTACACCTGGCTGGCCTTAAGTCAGAGATCCCTATGCCTCAGCCTCCCTAGTCCTGGGAATAAAGGTGTGTGCTACCAATTCCCTGCTTAATCTAATTTTCTTTTGGTGGGAGAAAAGAATAGGATTCAAAGATGAAATATATGATAAATCATAATAAGCTTGTTTAGTTTTCAAAGACAGTGACAGTTGGAACTGGACAGATAGCTCAGTGGCTAAGAACCACACAGGTGGTTTATACCCAACTCTTAAGTCTCAAGGGATCTGACATCCTTTTCTGACCTTGACAGATCACATAGACACATACAACATTTTATTTTAAATCAGTAATTATACAAAGGGTTTTCTGTCCGAATTCTGACACATTAAATGTATTCTTAAAATATAAGTTTACAAAGATAAGGGAAGAGGTCTGAAACCAATAATTGGAACTTTACTCTGTGAAATTACCTGCCTGTATTGAATAATTGCCATTCACATCTAAATCCCAGAATTTAGGAGGTGGAGGATTGCTGTGACTTTGAGGCTAGTCTATGATACAATGTGAGTCTCTTGTCTCAAAACCTTTTTTGAGACACGGTATTACTATGTAGTCCTGGCTGTCTTAGAACTTGATTATGTAGAATAGGGTGGCCTTGAATTTACAGAAATCACCCTGCCTTTGCCTCCTGAGTATTGAAATTAAAGGTGTATGCTCTAACCTCCCTTCCTCCCTCCCCCACAAAAGAAATCCCACTACCTTCGAAATTATTGATTTGGCCAGAGTTTATTTAGTGGAGTGGTTCTTTCTTCCTTTTTTTTTTTTTTCTTCCTGAGACAGGGTTTCTCTGTGTAGCTTTGGAGCCTGTCCTGGAACGCTATTCTGTGAGAATTCTAGATTCAGGTAAAAATTTTCTTTATAGTCCTTTTTATTGAGCCAGAGAGAAATTATAAATTGCAATGAATATATATAAATAAATAAAACCTGAGGAAATTGCTCCATACAAGAGATGATTTTCTTTAGTGAGAAATTCTAATTTAGTGAGAAAGTTTTCAACTTAGATGAACCTTTCTGGATACATTTACACTGCCTGCCACTCAATTTTCAATTTCTCAAGAGAGGCTTCGGTTGGTATTCGGTTGGGGGGCTTAAGCAGGGGGGGATGGGAGTCAGAGCTGCTTTTTTTGTTACTCAGCATCAGATTTATTTTTACATACATCTGATACTTTAATCTTTATTAAACTGGATAATCAATATTATATAATTATGCTTGACAGAGGCGGGATCTTCAGTGATGGGTATGGTGGTCCTGGGAGGCAGAGGTGGGCAAGTTTGACCAGCATGACCTACACAAAGAGCTCCAGGACAGCCAAGGACACACAGAGAGACCCTATCTCAAAAAACAAACAAAGCAAGCCTAAAACTGCTAGGGGATACAGCTCAGTGATAGAGCCTTTGACCAGGACTATTCGTGTATAATGTCAGGTTTTACTGCTGTACCTCTTTCTAATCATTACTGTGAGGGTACAGTGAAACTACTGTCCATTCCATGAATAAAAGAGTAAAGTTTATTCCAATTGTCAAGGCTGTGTGTGTGTGTAGTCTTGCCAGTTACAAGGTATATGTTGTGGTAGGAGGTAGAAGAGTTAATTTTGATCTGCTGGAGGCTTGCTTGAATTAAAAGGGAACTAGATACCCTTTAGAAGATAGTTAGCTGTATTGGTGGTGGAGCAGATAAGGGAAGTAATGACTTTTCTTGACAAATAGAAATCTACTTTACAAGGTTTCTAAGGAATGCTGATTTTAAGTAGCAGTCCTACTATTTACCTGGTCAGAGTACAACCTGAATTTAGCCTAGATGATGCCAACCCATGACATTGTCAACTTGGGACTGCAAGGGGGGAGGGGGACACTTTGGATCTAATAGCTACCATCTGCATTTTCTTACCAACTCAGTTTTTATGCTTATTACCATGTAATGACTACTGATCTGATTCACTCCCCCCCCCCTTAACACTAGAAAAATCACACAAGTCAAACTCTATTTTAGTTTTTGTATAAGGCTTAAAAATGATTTTACCATGAATACAACCTATGGTAATCATGTTTTATGTCAATCTCTTATCTTTTTCCAATTTATTTTTCATTGAGCATTTTGGATTGTTTTACATTATAAATTAGTGAATACTCATTACACTCTTAATAACTTAGCCACTTCTTTCATATATTGTATCTCCTTTAACCCTTATTACACTGGAAGTTGTGGTAATTGGCCTTTTCTAGATAAAATGAAGTTCAAATAGAGTACGATGAGCATAGTCTGTTATGGGACAAGATGAAGTTTGGTTGGCCTTCATGTAAATATGTGACTCAAACAAACAATCAACTTACGTGTGAACACCATCTGTTTTTCTTTGCTCAAAAACTAAGGTTTTGCCATCTGGTGAGGCAAGATGGAAATCAATATCTAATTCTGCTCCATCTAAAACCTATAGGAGAGAAAAAAATACATATTACAAACTCTGAAAATAGAAACGTCTATAAAGTAAACCATGTGATATAAAGGCTTTTTAAAAGATTCTATGTATGTATGTATGTATGTATGTATGTATGTATGTATGTATGTATGTATGTATCTGGCACAGGGTTTCTTTATGTTGCCCTGGCTGCCTTGGAACTCCCTCTGTAAACCAGGGCCTGCCTCTGCTGCTCTCAGTTCTGGGATTATGCCACCATGTCCTGTCTTTAAAAGATGTGCAAGTGGAGGCCAGAGGTTGACATCCTCTATTGTGCTCCAACTTTCTTTTTGAGACAGGGTCTCATTACATATAGCCCAGGCTTTGAACTTGTCACCCTTCTCCCTTAGCTTCCTGAGCATTTAGAATTACCAGCATATGTTACCATTCCTAGCTTTCAAGGACAGTTTTTATTAATAAAAATTATTTTCCCATCCAATTTCTTTCACCAACTCCATAATAGGTTTCCCTGCATCTGATTTTGCTTCCATTAAATCTGCTTTTCACACTCCATCCATCAATCTGCTTAAATCTTATGTGTTTGCCAGGCAGTGGTAGTGTGTTGTGGGATATCTGTACACTGTGAAGATGTATTGCTGGGATTGGTGTAATAAAAAGCTGAATGCCCAATAGCTAGGCAAGAGAGGTAGGAGGGACTTCCAGGCAGAGAAAGATCTCTAGGAAGAAGAAAGGCAGGGTGGGAAGTATGGAGATGAGATAACACCATGTGGCAGAATGTAGATTAGTATAAATGGGTTAATTTAAGGTGTAAGAGCTAGTGGGACAAGCCTATGCTAAAGCTGAGCTCTTATAGTTAATAAATCTGTGTTGTTATTTGTGAGCTGGTGGCCCAAAGAAAAATCAAGCCTTTAACTCCAGCACTTGGGAAACAGAGGCAGGTGGATCACTGGGAGTTTGAGGCCAGGCTAGTTTACAGATCTAGTTCAAAGACAGCCAAAGGTGTTGCACAGTGAAACCCTGTCTCTAAAAACCAAAAAGAAATAAAAAAAAATCTTATGTGTCAATGAAAAAAATAAGAGAAATGCTATTTATCATGAAGTACATTATAGCCCCTTCTATGTTGCCTAGCCATTTTGTCTATTTCCTATTTTGCTACTTCTGCCTTCAGACTTTACAGTTTTCAAAACTAATAAAAACTTAGTACTTACAGTGGACCTCTGAACACTCAAATATACATCCTAAAATTAAGTCTACTCAGTTTTCCCCTTTTCTGAAACTGTCTTCATTTCTTGCATTCTTACCTCATTTTCAGATTTAATTTTATTTTCTTCAACAGCCCTATTCTCTGAAAACCAATAAATGACTATTTTTAACTATATGTAATCATACTTTATTCACATTACCTACTTGGGAGCCTGAGGGGGACTGCTGTGAAGTTCTGAGGCTAGCCTGGGCTAATTATTGAGTTCAATGCCATGGGATACATAGTGAAACCCTGTCTCAAAATACAGAACCACCGACAGGCCAGCAACCAATCCAAATAAACCCCCCCCCCCCCAAAAAAAAAAAAAAAAAAAAAAAAAGCCCAAACCCTCAAACTCAAAGCTTGCCTATGAACCCTAAACCCTAAAATTCCTGAACAAGGATTCTCTTTTCATTTGTTCCTCCTTCCGGCAAAATATCTTGCACACATTAACTGTTCAGTAAATGCTTAACTTTTGCCTATACATGGAAATCAATATTAAGCTCAGTTTTGCTTAGGTTTTAGATACTATGATTTTAGATACCTCCTGTAAACTATAATCCTAGTTTTTTCCATATAAAAGTTCTACATTAAGTTTTTAAAAAGGCACGTGTCCACCTGAGTGTGTGTTTGTGTGCCACGTGCATTCTTTAACTTTTGAGCCTTCACTACATAAGCTTTATTCTGCTCTATTACCTAATGGCATTTGGAACTTAATTTGAAAAATAAAGCCCCAAAGATAAAACTGCATCAACATATATTTTGATGCATTGCTGTCTGGAAACACAGACATTTGCCAGGTGGAACTTGTATGTTTTTCTTAAAATACATAAATTAAGACACTTCTTTCTACTGACATATTCTGCTGATACTAAAAAGAAAACAGCGACATGGGAAGAATGCTGACAAAGTTCAATGAAAAAAGGGTCTGAAAGTTTTAATATACTATTATCCTATTTGATTTGAAAGCAATAGATATACAACTGGGACGGAGATATACCACTAAATACTCCTTTCAACACATTTCAAAAAATCTGACTTAGAGATGCTCACATGGTCACAATTCAAATTCCTTAACTGAATCGTGACGATTTTATAGTATTGGAATTTGGTTAAAGTAGTGAGGAGTGAGGGTGATTCAAACAAGTGTCATCATTCCGTCAAAAAAAAAAAAAAAAAAAAAAAAACACGTGTATCAGCCCCATAATGTGAATTATCAGAATTGTAGTATACTAGTTAGGAAAGCTATGGGTGAATTAAGAAACAAAGACTGACGCCACCGACGTCACCAGTGCTGGCCTTTTTCCGACCAGAGAAAAGGGAAGAGTGAGGGTGTCAATTAATTTTAGGACTGGACAAACTTGGGAGCTCCAGGCACCCAAGAGTCTCGCTCGCCGCGTGCGCCTACTCACGGAAGCAGGCCAGCTTCCCAGGCGCCCCTCCTGCTCCACCTCGCCCGTCGTCCGCAAGTCTTGCAAGCTGGCGGGAGGCGAGGATGCGGGGCAGCCGGGCTCAAGGGGGGGGGGCAGCTCCCCCCGCACTTACCTGGTACTCGATCTCCAACGAGGCCTTGGGCGGCATAGGCTGGTAGAAGCACTCCTTCTGGCCTGCCGGGAGCGTGAAGGTGAAGTCGCTGTCCAAAGAGGGCCTGAAGCTGGCCGCCCCCCGCAGCAGCACCGCAGGCAGAGCGGCCAGGAAGAGCATTGGGAACGGCAGCCAGATCCGGCCGCCCATTCCTGTCGGAGCGTTTAGGGGCGTGTGGGGAACTGGTACCTCCCCTCTGAAGCCCCGAGTCCAGGGAACTTTCGGCCGCCGCGGCTCACGCAGTCTTCCAAGGGGAAGCGCTGTCCTCCACTGCGATGGGTGAGGGCGGGGCTGCCGTTCCCTTTCTGCACCCTGCTGGGTTTCGGATCCCGGCTTCACACCGGACTTGTAGGTTTTGGCTTCCCTTACATACACACCAATGAGCAATGATGAGCACTGGCGGCGGTAATGATGGGAAATGTAGTCCACTATGAACTGGACTTGTAGGTTTTGGCGTCTTCCTTCACATACACACCAATGAACACCAGCGGCGGTAATGATGGGAAATGTAGTCCAGTACGAATGCGTCGTGCGGCCCATCCGCACATCCAGCCTCATTTCCCGGCACGCTCTGCTCTGCGCTCCGGCATCGCATTTGCGGAGCCTGCGTGGGGGCGGGGTTTGTGGCCCGGGAGGCGCGTCCCAACGGCTCCCGCGGCGGTTCGAACTTAGCGCCTCCGAGGTTCGCTGGTTCTTCTCCTCCAGTGTTAGAGGCTTCCATGTCGTGTCCTGCGCGAGTGTCCTAGGCTTCCTAGCGTGGGTGCGCCGCCGCCTGTGGTCGCTAACTCCAGCTGCGACCTGGGTGGTGAGCAGACGCCTCCCGATTGGGAACGGGCTTTCTTTCTCTTGGGGTGTTCGACGCTCTCTCGGCCCGGCCCTGGCGCCGCATATGCTGCTCTGAGGTCGTTTGTTTTATCGCAGAGGAGGATGCCAAATGTTCTGCCCCCTCCAGGCAGATGGAGCACCTCTTATAGCAGATTGAGTATTCTTGAGATAAAGTACTGTATAAAAACCATGTGCTCTTTCCCAAGCGTAAAAACCTGACCCATTCGGGGAGTTCTTGTCCTTCACTTGATGAGTGTGAGGGTGTACAGCTAGGACGCATTTTTCATCTATCTATCTATCTATCTATCTATCTATCTATCTATCTATCTATCTATCTATCTATCTATTTTCAGTAGGCTTGAAGATCTGGTTGTGAGGGCCATAGGTAAAATGTGCCCTTCCAGGTACATGCGACCCCCAGAAAAATGAGGATGTTTCAATATTTCAATATTAGACATAGTCATTGCTGCTTCAGATGGGTTAGATAGTGTTATATGGTGTTGAGCAGCATTTTTTTTTTTTTTTGTCTAAAATTTCTATCTTTTTCTCCATCATTATCCTATGTGAAGTTCGAGATGCTGTTGAATAGATGTGGAGTAGAATGGAGACCTGAGTCGCTAACTGACTGGGAAAGTCTTCGAACTTAAGCAGAAGCAAGTTTGTGAAAACAAAACCCGGAAGAGGGTAGAAACATTTTATTTACAAGACATCTCCTTAATTTTCAGTCCAGCTTTTTCCAATAAGGTGAGAGGTTTTATTAATCGATCCCACTCCTGCGAAATGTTGAGTAGGGAATAGCTATACTATTTTACTTGAATGGGGGTGGGAGAAGGCAGGTTATTCATCTATCCATTCAAAGTAATGAGTTTTCCTAAATACATTATTTTTTTTTACATTATACTTTTTTATAAATTATTTATTTTATATACATTGGTGCTTTGCCTGCAAGTATGTCTGGAAGAGGAATTGAACCCCGGTCATCTTGAAGAGCAAACAGTGCTCTTAACCCCTGAGCCAGCTCTCCAGCCCCACGATACTCTCTTGCCCATAATACATGGGAATTACATTTGTAGCACAAATTTTAAGAAGGGCAATGAAAGAGACACTAAAATGAAGAAGATTAAGTGAAATATGAAAGGTGAAATTGTAAAACTATTCAGGAAGATCTGTAGCAGAACTAGAAATTCTGATGCTTTTGATTTTATTTTAACAATTAAAATAATAAAATATCCTCTGCTGTGACTTTAAAAATACTAATTTTACTCTATGTGTGTGGGTGTTTGGGATCCTCTGAAACTGGAGTTAATAGACTGGTGTGAGCCACCATGTGGGTGCTGACAATAGCAGTAAAAAGCCCTAGAAAGCAATTAATACCCTTAAATTCTGAGCCATGGCAATAGCTGTATCATGATTTTTCTCTTTTAGTTAATTAACCCTACAGTGGCTTGCTCACCAGTTGATATAATGGAAGGTTCTTCCCATGTAGTTCAATGACTTGAATTGCTAAATGTCTTTCTTGTTTTGTATGTTTTTGAGAGAATGTCTTAGTATGTAGACCCAGCTGGCCTTGAGCTCACCTGCCTCTACTTCCCAAGTGCTAGGTTTAAAGGACTAGTAACCATATCCAGCCTCAAAATGTCATTTTGATATGTGATTTTGACTTGTGAATGTGAGTATATTTAAATTTTACTACCACTGTGAATGGGAAGAGATAAGTATCCTGTAATTCCAGCTTTTAAGACAATATGGAAGATTGTAGTGGTAACATCTTATCAGATACCCAGGGCTTGTAAGGTGATTATTAAATTCTAACTCCTCATATTTAAGTTAATTAGAAAAGTATACCAAGCACTTTCACAGTTTCTTCTTTTCTTAAATTTTACTGCTGTGACTTATACACAAAATTTTGACTGATACTACAGAATCTTCAGGCATAGTATAAAAAATTTATTTCTTTCTTTGTTAGGAAATGGAATATAGTTCATCAGACTATTATAATAAAGACAACGACAATGAGGAAGAAAGTTTGCTTGCAAATGTTGCTTCATTAAGACATGAACTGAAAGTAACAGAATGGAGTTTGCAGAATCTGGGGGAAGAGTTATCCAGGCAAGAAAATAAAATCACATGTATAAATTAAAGTATTAATTTATAAACATAAAGTGACTAGATCTTATATGTTGTGTTTAATATGCCTCTGGTCTACGATATAACTTTGTATACTTTTTAATATAATTCAGTTTGTGAAATGGAAATATTAACAAACATTTACATATTAAGACATCTTGCTTGGCAGTGGTGGTAATGTTTTTACTTCAGCACTTGGGAGGCAGAAGCAGGTGGATCAGAGTTCAAGGCCAGCCTGGTCTTCAAAGTGAGTTCCAGGACAGCCAGAAATACACAGAGAAGAAACCCCATTTTGAAAAACTAACCCCCTCCCTCCAAAACCCCAAACAACTTTAATGTATCAGGAATCAGTATGAAATATATATTCAGAATTTTATTAATCTTTCATGATTGTAGCTGCTTTTTTTTCTCTCTTTACTGAAGTAAAATGATTCAGGAAATACATAGATTGCTAATATAAACTAAATATGATTTATGGAAATTATATTGGAAATACAGTGTTGTAGCTATAGATATAATTTCTGATTACTATATGTGGAAAATTGTGGTTTAAAAGAACTATGTCAGACTGAAATGGAACTTTTCTTTTCTCTGTAGTGTTAGTCCAAGTGAAAATTCTGATTATGTCTGCAATCCTTCAAGATCTGAAAGGTTTATTTTGGAAGAGCTTACTCAACCTAGCCACCTGGGACATTTAAATTACCCACCTTATAAGAAAGTTTGTAAAACATCTGGTAGTACTGATTTTCAAAAGAAGCAAAGAGAGAAGGTTATTGTTTTTTATACCTGACTATTTAAAATAGTTTTTCTTTACGTGCCATATTCATGTTCTCTGTAGTCTTTTACTACAGTGTTTGAGATTAGAATATAATTGTTCTTTTTAAGTATTATTGTGTGTGTATGAGTGTTTTGCCTGCAATTATGTCATGGAGGTTAGAAGTGGGTGTTGGATCCCTGGAAACCAGATTAGAGATGGTAACTTCCAGTAGTGATTCCAGGTCCTTGAGAAGAGCAACCAGTGTTTTTAATTGCTCAGCCATCTTCCGTGTTCCATAATTGTTCCTTTTATATCCTAACTTTTCATGCAATGAAAACTCCATAGTTAAGAGGAAAACTATGAATTTTTTCATTGTATTATAGAGAAATTGCCAGTTTATATTATTTAAATAGGGAAGTATAAAATATGTTAGTTTTTGTATAAAGAGAAAAGACAAGTGAGTAATTATTTATATATCTGGAGTCATTAGAAAACTAAATTATAAAATTACAGTAAGAAGCCAGGCATGGTGGTGGCTCATGTGTATAATCCTAGCACTTGGAAGACTAAGGTCGGAGAATTGCTATGAGTTCCAGGTCAGTAAGGCCTGAAACTTTGTATCAAACAAACCAATAAAAAGGCTGAGGATATAGCTCAGTTGGTAGAGAGTTTCTTAGTAACCATGGGCCTTGGGTTTGATTTTGAGCACCTCATAAATTGGGCATGATGACTTTGTTCAATAAACCTAACATTCGGAAGGTAGAGGCAGAAGGATTAGAAGTTCACAGTCATTCTTGTAGATATGAGGAGTTTGAGGTCAGCCTGCATTAGAGAACCTATCTCAAAAAAGTTAATAGGTAAAACAGCTACTAAAGATGGCAGGATGTGGTTTTGTTTTGTTTTTGTTTTAATTTTGGTTTTTCAAGACAGAGTTTCTCTGTATTGCTTTGGAACCTGTCCTGGAACTAGCTCTGTAGACCAGGCTGGACTCGAACTCACAGAGATCCACCTGCCTCTGCCTCTCAAGTGCTGGGACAAAAGATGTGTGCCACCGACGACAGGCTGGCAGGATGTGTTTTTGTATGCCTTTTATGTAGCCTGACTTTGTAGTCTGTAGATAATATGTTTCTCAAAATTTTGGAAATAACAAAGTGTATTATAAGATATATTTAATAGCATAGTAAAATTACATGCATAAGTTAAAGGATATTTTGTTTCATTGTTGGTTGGGGAATGTATTCCTTCCCCACAGTTACACAGGGTAACTGTAAATATCTTTAGGTGCAGAAATACAAAGAGTTCTATCATATTTATACTCAGGAGTGTGTTGTTGACTAATCAAATAATACACCAGTTTTATAAAGTATACCACTCTTTTGCCAGTTTATACTTAGTTTATACAAGTTGAAAAGAATGTTGTCTTACTTTTATTTTGTCAGTACTCACTAATGCTCATTTTCCTAATCTAGTCAATTTTAATGGCAATTA